GTTTTGTAGGTCAGCAGACTGACCATCATAAGAAGGCAGACAACATGCCCAACGCGGGAGGACATCTGGCCTTCCCGCTCGAGGTGATCCCTCTCAACGCCATTCTCTTCACGCCGCGTTCTTTGCGGTTCGCTACCACAATTGCAGATCACCGTCTTTGTGATCTCAACGCTCTACCTGTCTCCAATCACATTATTGATCTCGCATACGCTCTCAATGTCTCTCGAGTACGAAGACCTGTTCGTCAAACTGTTGCGCGCCGATGGCAGTCAGATGGCCGATTATCAAATTACAAGATTCTACAATAGCCTCGAGGCATACGTAGAGAGTGTCGTCGGAGAGGTATGCCATCTGACACGTCGCCATATTGTCCCTTCTTTTAATGTGAGCCGTGTGCGTAATGATGCAGGAGTTTATCATCAAGCTCTCATGTCATAGACGCAATGGAACAGAAGCCAACGCAGCGGTCTACGATATTCTCATAGATGGTCGTGACATGGGGAGCCATGTAGTGATGTCCGGAGAGTCTGTCGTAGTTCGGGGGGTCCGTGTTACACGTGACTCTGTAGCACCTTTCAGATTTGAAAGATTGAAGGTCGTAGGTGAGCATATACATCTCGGGCTTGCCTTATGCTCTCTGATCTCGAACCAACAGACGACGACGACTTCATTGAAGATGGCAAGATCAGAAGCAAAGAACTGGGAAAGATAACGGTGTACGCATATCGAGCACACGTTTCTGCAGAGAGGCCAGCAGAGTCTGTTCCAGAAGCAAACAGTTGTAAGATAGAGCGCGAGGTAGGGCCAGTGTCTGAAAAGGTCAAGAAAGATGGAGGTCACACCGTGATGTACGTGCAGAATTGCGATTTTGTTGTGTACCAAAGCTTAAAATTGCTGAAGACTCGGAGAAGCGAGAGCGGCCACGCCGGCATCGTATTACAGGGTCACGGAGCTCCTGGATCGCATGAAATTACCCGAGGCTGCATTTTGCTTCAATTATCTCTCGCGAGGTCCGAAATAAGCATTTTTCCTCCGCCTTCGGTACTGAGGAATTCATCAGACATGCTCGCGGCGCGAGGTGCCGTTAACAAAATTGTGCCTTCCACCGACATTCCGTCTCGTAAGCGATCCCGCACAGACGACGGGGATCCTGGTGTTGGCCGTGATGGAAAGCGAGGAAAAGTCATCGGCCTCCGCAACCCACCCATTCAAGTCCCAAAGGCTATCTTAGGCAAAACGTTTGATCTCACCGTTGAGGACTAGGGGGCCTATCTCTGAGCGCTCTCTTCTCCACGATCTCACCGACTGGTACATGTATCCCATCATGATTGTTCAGAATCGCTTGGAGTCGGTGCTGAAACACGTACCGGACATGACGCGTTCAGAGCCTCGTTGCCACTGTGTGCATTGCCTGTGCGAGTAGCTGGTGCGACGATGTCACACTCAGTTTGCGTCAAAGAAATTCATATGCAGCACTGAAATACGGTGAGAGCATTAGTACCGATTCGACAACTACCTCCCTTCCGTTGAGAAGTGACAACAACAAAACAACATGGAGCATCTGTCTTCAAAAACTTGGAGCTCTTTCTTCACAGCTAGCAGTCCGGCGAGGTTTCAAGAGCATATTTGGGCTGCGTCACGTAGCATGACCGTGTCTGAGCTTAGTTCAGAAGCAGGTGTAGACGCAATATGTCAAGTGTGACCCTGTACGCGTAGAGAATGAGTGCAAGCCCGACAATTGCGCCCACAGTACGAGATACACTGTAGCTGAGAGGAGTCACCTCTCAGAAAGAGATGTGGGCTCGCACAAAATGCGCTATTTGTGTTGTTGGTTGGCCGAGCACATGCCAAGCAATGGAAATGATAACACAATCGAGTGCCCCGTCTTTCACACACGTAAAACATGGCAATAGCATTGAATGATGTCGCGTACTTCATAGAGAATACAGGTGGGAGAGGTACTGATCGTCATGTGTTTAGGCAGAGGTAGGCAGGCAGCTCACGCCCGTATTCACGAGACCAATACTTTTAGGTCAGCTGTAGAGAATAAGAGCCATCTAACGCGCAGTGCACTGATTTTGATGTGGAAGAGATACTGGACTTTTGTGCTTGTTTACCGGCTCTTGTTCATCAGTCCCGTCAATCATGATACGCGTGTCTCGGAGTCACATACAATCTCTTTCAGCTGTCAGGAAAATTTTGGCAGGCATGTGCTGCGCGACATAGCATGTTGTATGCCGGAAACATTGTATCGAGGCCTATAGGAACATCCCGACTTAAGCTCTTCACAAGAGAGCTCGCCATTTCCCTCTCACGGACGGTGTTAGACTCATTTTGCCATAATTTCAACGCCACTAGAGCATACTGTACTCCAAGACAAAAAGATCCGTGAAAGCTGGTGCAAGCTGTCAAGCCGACCATCTTGCGATGTCACAAGCAGAGGACATCAAGGTAACCGTAGTCAAATAAATGCAATGTATGACATGCAAAAACACAGCGACACCACTTGAAACAGTAAAAAAGCGTGCACCATCGTTAGTCTGGGGACGCAGCTGTAGCTATGTCTGCTCCGTCACAAGCGCTCTGCTGCAAAGGTAAAGATGATTCTTGGGTTCGAAGGAACTGAATTGTACTCAGTTCTCCCAAGTGCTCATCTAGAGTCGAGAGAGTGAGTACATGATTGCCATACACTTTTCCCTGCGTCGCACGCCGCCTGCAATAATCATTATCCAATGGAAGTTCGTAAGCACGTCAGAAGTGACTAACTTTTACCCGACCAAACCATGCATTCAGGCCCCTTTAGCGGAATGCATCATTTTTTTACAATAGCTTGAGCCACTATGTCACATCATTTTGAAGTCCGCGCCATTCTAGCGCGGACGGACGTATATATACCGGGCCATATCAAGCTCGAACTTCCCGCATCGCCCCGCCACGTACTCTCACTACCGCAGCCGCCATCTTAAGGCGGCCTACTTCACCGCTTTGCAGACCGCCAGACGTCAAGTCAAGGGTCACAGAGAGAAGTATGCCATGCGGAATAGGAGAGGGCGGGTTCGATGTGGTGACGACGCCGGCCGGTGCGCGTCCGTTACGGGTGTTCGCTTCCCGATAATTTTTGGACTGTAATCGCGTTCTCGCGATCCTACGGAGCCTCCCCGTGCTCGATAGATTTTCCATACCGTCTCTGACGATTGAAGCTGCGAATTGAGATCCTTGATCGCTCTCTAGAACCCTTTTGCACGCACCGCTACATACCCTACTTATCTATCTACAGTTGACAATCATAAATTGCGCTCCAGAGTTGAGCAATACAGTCCAAGACCGTACGTGCTGGCTTGACCCTCTACGTAGCGCGTCTTTGGTGCGAGGGATGCAGGTTGCAGGTGCGGAAGTAAGAGGCACATGATGTGAGAGTGCATCTCGGCGCCACCCGGCAATAATAACATGGACGCAAGGGGTCTCCCAGGTCTGCTCGATTATGTCGAGCTATTTAATCACCAGCCTGAATACCTTACTCTGAAATATCAAAGCGAATTAAAGTGTCGATAAATTCCACTGAGACATCACATTTCGTTCTATAGTCAATCCACAACAAGGACCAGCTGGAACAAACTCAGAGGCGTAACCCACGCGGAGGGATGGAGATGGTGGGTGTGTCAGTCATTTGTGCATAGTACCTCACGCGTAGCGTGACTTCTCGCCCACACGACGCGGACCCCGTCCTCGTAATAACCTAAACCCCCCACCCCTCTCCGAAGTGTGGCTGGAGCAGAAAGTCGTGAGGTTCACTACGTTTCATAGCATAGGATGATTTAAATTAAGATTTTTGCCCCCATAAGCATTGTACATTGTACAACAGCCATGTTTCATTTCCGTCAAAAATAGAAAGCAACCACAGAGTCTGGTAATTTGCTTGTGTACATTCATTATTTCGACATACCAAATCAAGGTAATCCGATAAACTGACACCTGAGTGACGCATGTCGTCTCGCTATGATGTCTGACCGCTCAGCCTGGTTTCGCTGACTCGAACGACATATCAGTTGCGTGTGTGTTTGTCGCATTCAGATCGAGCGTGTCCCACAACCAACAACACTCCAAAAATGTTGTCTGCAGGCCTTCTGAAGTTGACCTCAAGGGCGGGAAACGTCGGGAAAGTTCGAAGATGTCCGAATGGCGGGGCCGCTCGTGTAGCACATCACCCAGGATTTACCCTGCACGCTCGTCTTGTATCAGTCCATTCAAGAGCCCGTGAAAATTGAGCACTGTGCACTAGATGGTGCTTGACCGAAACAATGTAGCTGAGTCTCTTCACGCGTCGAAATCGACATTGGTGCATGACGTCCAATAGTGCCATTTCACAGACAGTGTTTTAACCGATCGGTCCAGCGGTCGCGACGCGCATTGAGAAACTGGCTCCCGCGGTCCCTCGTTGAGTCCTATTGCGCTAAATACCACATGCATGATATCACTAATCTCTTCTGATTACAGCCGAAAGCATGAAGCATCAATCAGCACGCTGTATGACAAGCGACGCAGACGCTCTGCGCATGAGTGTAAGCCTTCATATCAATGCTCAATGAGATTGCCTGCATCTTGTACGAGAGATGCGATGCGCATGACCACATTGGTCCAAACTGAACGGAAGTTAGGTCTCATTGCGTGTCTTCTGTTATATTTTCCCCGTAGAGTGCGAACATCACGCCCTTTTCCCGCGAGTTTGCGGTTGTCGATGGTGTCTCACGCCGATGTAATGTGTGAAGTGTCACTGTGATACCCCTTTCTCATGCCAACTGCGTGAAGGGAGCTCAGACAGTAGGGGATTGTGTTCAAGCTCTACAAAAATATATTAATTCCTTCAGGTCCGCTCATCGTGCATAGCCAATATAAACCTTTTCGTTTTGCGGCCTTCCTCATCAGATTCACGTCCTCCCTCAGTCCGTTAGCACTTGCTCTTTCCTCTAATGGGTCTTCCACTGCACTATCATAATCATAAAATGCTCAGCATCTGTATCTCTAAGCACGACGTCGCTGGCGAGGCTCCCGAAGCCTTGACAGCCCTGGAGACCCAGGTTCAGCAGTGGATGCAGAGCAACGTCAACTCAATCTATCTCGAGGACGAGGCAGGCGCAAACGTACATCTCCGTATTGAAGACGAGAACACGATCTTCATCGGCATACGCCATCCATGCCTTCCAAAATCTCGTGCGGTTGAGTCATACCACACTGTTGACGTGGCCAATTCGGAAACAATACACGACGTGCTCGACAGTGCCATTACCTTTATTCGATCCCTCAGTATAAACGCGCCAGAGGGCCCACAGTTCACGGTCGAATTCTTCAAGATAGTGAAGAATCAGGACGGGAAGTCTAAAGACGACACACAATGCTCGTTTAAACCAGAAGGTCCCAACCTTCTCTGCGACGGTATTGTCAAAGTCACGACCTCGAAGGAAGTCAGCTATGGCATCAATATTAGGAACGCGACGGACAAGAATCTTTACTGCCATCCCATCCTCTATTATGACTGCGGCGATCTTTCTGTTGGTGCGCATCAAGTTATACTTACGTCATAGCACACCCCTTGACACTCATACAACACATCTCCTTGACAGAGTCTCAGCCGCAGAGAGAAGTTGAGCTTCCTGCTAACGGGATCTTGGGATTCGCACAATCTGGTTATATTCCGTGGCAGTTCTATTTGCGCGATGGACAAACAACGGACACTGGATTTATCAAAATCTTCGTCACGTCGTCCCCCGTCACCGTCCCTGAGACGTTGCAAGAGAATCCATTTGCCAAATTTGATGTCAAAAGGGATGGATTGAGCAAAGGGGCGCTTTACGACTCACTTGTGGCCACCATAACCTTCGTCGTAGACCAAATTCCGCCGGATGGGTGCACGCTACAGGACGAGCTTCCTGTTTTTGCGTCGTAACTCTGTGCTTCAATTTTACTTCCTCGACGTAATATACTTGGTCTTATGGGTACAGTAGGCAGCCTCTAAGATGCATGCTGATCGACTACTTTCTCAAAGTCTTGTAACTCTATATCATTATCTAACCTTCTCAGAAGTAGCTACAGAGGCTGGCAGTGCCATTGTCACATATGGCCAGTGATGAGTTATGAATGTGTGCGTAGGTTTTTAAAGCGGTCTCACCAAGCAGACATGTGTTATCTCAAACTACACACTCATGTCGTACTATATATGCCTAAGACAGCAAAAATACTCGTTCATCACTGAGCCGCTCAACGCACGCTTTTTCTGCATGCTTTCTGACACATCTCGACAGTCCACAGGCTTTCTATCTGGAACCGGTCAACCACAAACGGTCATCAAAGGTTCGATTTCGTCAATGACTCGAATCTGGAGCAGAGTTTACTTTTTCTGTCAGTACAGGCATTGTATATACCTCCTGCCGTATGAAATCTTTTTCGTTAACTCTATCCTTCCTATGCCAAATCCACGTACATGTCATGTCTTTGAACCATTTCAACAGTCCACGGAGCCATTCAATACAACATTTCATGTTCATGTCCGTCATACGAAACGGCAGCAGAAGACGTGCCTATTGACGGACGCCTGCAGTCATGGAAAAGTCGGAAGGCGCCTCTACGGATGCCGAACAGGGCATGTCACAACAGATCGGGAAAGACCGGCCCTGCCACTGCTGTTGAGCACAGCATACTTCAAAGGCATAGCTCAAGTCATGGTTACGTTGTCGCCCTGACCGTTCTCAATGCGTACATCAAAGGTTGCGCATTCAGCTGACTATCAGAGTGGATGCAGCAAAATCCTCGCGATATTCTCATACACTGACATCCTGAGCCACTGACCTTCATATTGACACTCGTACTGGCATCTCTATCACTGTCACCGAGTCTTCTTCCATTCCCTCGCTATATCATGACTCGCACCTCTTCTGGCGACCTCATCTGCGCGTGGATACGGGTGAAATTGCGAGACACTAACATTCGCGCACGGTACACGACATCAACCCATCCTTGTATCTATCACTCGTGTACCGTTTCTATGAGTGTCTCCATAATTCCACAAGCCAAACAGGGCCTGAGACATGCTCTGCAAATAGTTTTCACCCCAAGCAGTCATCTGCTGGGTCATCCCGTTCACTGGTTACGCAGACGCAGACCCGCGGCCTGACATGACGGAGGGGATGATTAACACTACCATTGTAGTCCTACACAATACAACGCCACTAATCTTGAGTCTCAAAGCCTTAGGAAGACATGCATGGAAGCCAAAGCAAGCTCCGTTTGAATGACTGCCGGAAACCACTGAAGAAACGTTGGTATGATAGTCAAAAGAGGGACCGTGAATGGGCGGGTCATAGGAGCACTTCAAATAAACAGAAAAGCATGGGGTGTACGTGACAGGATCCCTCCTCAAAAATACAACGCCAGGCCGCATTTACGCCGTAAATGTACCTAAGCTACATCAGCGTCAGTTATGCATGAAGTATGAACTGGCGCTCTCACCAAGTGACGAATTCCATGAAAGATGCGCATCATCCCAAAGGTAAAGGCGAGTCATCGACATTACTCGCGAGCTTTCCGAGAATTCTGAGTGTCAGGTATACAAGATAACGTACACCCATCAGCAGTGATTTTGCAACCTTCAGATTTCTCTCAAAATTGAAGACGAAGAGTCCCGAGGCGCAGACCAATCGGGTCAATGTGGGCGAATGGACATCGGCGATGTAAAGCAGCAAAAGAGACAGACAGAATGAAGAGAACATGAGGAAAATATTAAGTGCTTTGGATAGATTGCCAGAGTTCCGGAGCCAAAAGCGCAGGAACGGCCTTTGCTGTTGGTTGATTGACAGTCGGCTCATCGTACGGTGAGCAAGAGACACACCTGGGTACCTTCCATGTGGGCATCATCCGATGAGACGTGATGGATCGCAACGACGGCAAGCCCAAGCAAGGCCGACGCCGCAGAGAACGCAATACCAAACGAGACCGCCATGTTTTTGAACCCCGTATTCGGAGAGTAGTAGATTATGCCATCGATACTGACACTGGTTGAGCATGAAAGCATAGGACAATATAACAGCGCCTACGCTATTATCATAGAGAGCTGCAATATCTATGAGAGTCGATCAGACAATGCTATCAAAGGGCGCTCACTCACGACGACGACGTGAATCCTCGGCGTGTTCCCTGTCCCCCTCGCCGCCAGCGAGACGATCGGACCTTGGTTATGTCCTGTCTCGAACACTTGCGTTGCCATTCCTCTCGGCCAATATTCCATCCTCGGGGTGATGTCAGTATATGTTCAGGAAGTTTGAAGCCACGCGTAAAGGCGGTTAGGTGCCGAGATATAGTCCATCGGACATTCCCCGCAGACAGACGGGTCTCATGTGAGAAGGCGGCCCCTGGGCCATCACTCTCAATGATGTTCCTAGTCCCAGCATCATGCAACCGGTGGTACATGTAATGGTCGCAAACAGTATCTGTGCCTCTCGTCGTTCTGCCACGATTGTTCTTGGGAATTGCACAATGACATGCACGGGCTTCTATTACACCGTTCACATACAGGGAGCAATCACGATGACGGGGCTTCGGAAGATGGATGGTGTTTTGTCTTGTCGAGAAGATTAGGGTTGGCTTCCAGGTGGCTTCGGTATGCCTAGAGCATTTGCCATTGGTGACTAACAGGCACCGTGGAGCTCTCACCGGGCTATCCCCACCAGGACGCGGCACGACCGCCGCCTACCTCACCTCGGGCGTCTAGAGTGATTCTTGTCATCGCATGTTGACCCATAATTGGCGCTTCAGGGCTGCTGTGCAACGCCTGCGCTCGACTCAAAGTCCGACACAGAGGCATCCAATCATACTTGACTTTTGGAACTCTCCACGCTCATTGACTCGGGCCTGTATGCCAATCATGAGCGATGGAGCAAGTTGACACCTCTTCTCAAGCGTCAGTATAGGGGCTCGTCCCTACTGCCAGAAGTACGTAGACTTTAGCCACATTCACCGAAAGAGATCCGGATCCGGAGCGCTCAACTTGTCTAAGGATTTGACGAGTACAGTATACAGTGCCGGTAAGACAAAAATGTATAGTCTTCTTATCGAGTAATTTGACCTCAGCAGTCACCATGTGTCTAACGTACCGACCACGCAGCCCATCTCTTTTTGTACTCGTATCACACAACAACTAGTTCTCTATCTCATGATTCACGGCGTGCTCGCCGAATGGTCCGAGCGGCTCTCGGTTCCCGATGATCTCTTGCACAACCGTCCTCGACGTGTTTAAGATATCAGCCATACCAGAAATGGCATCGCTGAACGAAGACCATTGAACACAGAGTGGTAATATCACACTCGTGTGTCGGTCTGAGACGTACCTTCTCTCCACACATCCGCTTCAGTCGCCTTTGCGGGTTGAGAATCCTCGGGTATGCCACATGTGCACAAAGACTAGCCCCTGATCTGACGTATAGGCTCCCGGTTCTGAGAGAACAGTCATATCCTTGGGATCGTCCGTCGCAGACTCGAGTCCGGACACGGGCGTTACAGAGAATACCATCCGTGGTGTGAGATAAAGAAGTGGTGCAGAGCGCGTGCGAAGCGTGCGCTGAGTTCCGTGGTGCTGCGCGCCACGGTGGCTCAGGCAGGTCCAACTTTGAGCCACTCATCAGAAACATTGTGGGACTCTGTTAGCCACGAGGGTACGATCGAAGGACCGTGACGCGAGAGAAGGCGCGGGCGCGCGCATAGTATCGTGGTGCGAAGCGCCATGGTGCCACGGGCAACCGCGACTCCGCGTTGGTCGTCGAGGGGAGCAGTGCGGTGCGAGGTTCTTGCATTGCACAGGCGTGCGCTCGCGCGCGGACGATCCTGTCGCACTGAATAGTCCTGTTGATGGGCGAACTCGGCGGGCATGACCTCCTCCCGTCTCCATCCTGCCGCCTCTCTGGGCTCGTCTAGCCAACATCTGACTGTACGGCAACGAACGCGTACTACACTCATCAGGGGACATCGACACCTGGCGAAACGCTATCGTGCTGGGACGCGTGCTGGGCTGGCTCGTCGTAGCTCGTGTGGGAAAGTCCATCTCAGTCATCGCGTTCACGTTTAGGGGAAACGTGCACGCTTCGACCCGAAGGAGGGCAAGGTTTCTTTGATGTTTTTTTTCTCATTTCCTGAACGACGTCCCAAAAAAAAGAACGAAGTCAGGTTGCGCTGGGCGCGGCCTCGCTACTTACACCACACGCAAAGCTGACACTGCATTTAGAGTGGTCGATGTCTCAGTGGATAGCTGCTGCAATAAACAAACACACACAATATGATAATTCTAAGTAACCCAAAAGGCTGAATATCGTCGAAGAGAGTAATGATGTCGTACGTGAAGTCCGCAAACGTAGGAACTGTGGATACATCCGTAAGAAGAGTTTGTAAATTGTCGATTCCGGTCGCTGCAGCCGCTTGTAGGGGTGATATGTCTGTAATGGGGTAGAGTGCCAGAAGGAGTGACGCGCAACCAGGTCCTCATTCCCGCGACATACGAAAAGAGCGTGTTCAGGTATTTCCAAGCACCTGCGGCACAGGCGGCACAGACGGAGGTGCATCTCCATCGGTGCTCGATAACGCGTCTGTCAGCCCGTGATTTCCACGGCGTAACGAGAGTCTCCACAAACGATGCGCGTCAGCGCTAGGCGATGTCGGACGCTCGAGATACGCAGGTATTGTCGAAACATCGTGAGGACACGCCGAGCTGGACCCTGCCGCATCGGCTCCAAACGATTCTTCACAGGCACCAGTCGCGGTGCTTCTGTGATAGTGGTACGTAGCCAAGTCTTCAGCGAGCAGTCAACTTTCCCGATGAGGCATTTGATTGAGCCGTCCAGGAACAGGTCGCCCGGCGTTGGGAACGGAGCGCGAGTGACCAGCCGCGGGGCGCGACGGCGATATCGTCAAACCAGCAGGGGCGCCCCTCCGGAGTACAAAGCGAGAGATTCGCATAGCGCCGCGTAGACTATGTGCAAGCTGGGCAGATGTAGCGCGTAGTCGAGGTACCGCGGTCACAGCGTAATTTGACGACACTTGATTAGTGTAACCTTGAGTTCCGTGAACAGCGGCGCGATCATCGAGCGCGGGTTAAGGCTGAGAAGGCGCCAGAGGGAATAGAGCTGCACTGCGTATAGAACACTCGTCGTGGCATCGATGTCCGGGAGGACGTCACACCCATGGAAAAGGTGAGGCTCTACTCGCGCTCCGAGGATGACGCATCCCTCCCACGGCGGCATACACCCAACGAAGATGTTGAGACCGAACATGGTGTTCATGATACGGCGAGCGTTGCTGGCTTTGTCACGGTGATGACCGCCGAACATGTTGCGCAGGGTCGTCAACCGTGAATCCCACATAGTGGTAGGATACCGTATACTGAAGACGCGAGTCTCCCATGTACAGCGGCGGTAGAGGGCTCGACAGCTTCCCTACGAGTATTGCAAGTGTCTTCACCCTGCACGGCAGCAACCCCTTGTGAGCACAGGTAACTGTAAAACTGCACGTGTGTTGCTGAACCCCGCACTTGCTTGCAAGAGTCACTGCATAGCGCCGAGTCGTCGGCTTGCAGGATAGAGTGAATGGGTACATCCGCGAGTAGCGGGTCATCGCTGTGATGCAGCAGGACGAAGTCCGCGAGTAAGAGATTCCAGAGCGTGGGCGAGGCGGTATAACCGACTACGACACCGATTGTGGAAGAGAACGGCTCTGAAACGTCGACTCCGACGCAGACTGTGTACGACATGTGCCCGTATAGCCAGCGCAGCCAGTCAACGAGCTTGCCGACGGTGCCCATTCTTTTGAGAGTGACCCCCAGAAGGTTGAGGTTCGTGGAAGGGAACGCGTTAGCGATATCGGCAAAGACAACGTAGGGGGTTTGTCCTGAGTGCGTGCCCGTTCCAAAAGGCAACATAGGAGGAGCACATTGTTATTCGTGCGGTAGCCCGGGCGAGACCCGGTCTGAGAGGGACGGATAATGTTGTACTTCTCCGCCCAGTTGTATGCGTTCTCGTGTATCAGGTACGTCACCGACTTCACGACCGCGCATTCAAGACCGATCGTTCGGTAGGGCCGGGGTTCATAGCACTCTTGTTCATCTTTAGCAGTGCGACGACCGCCGTGAGGAGCCAGATGGATGGTGCGTCGTGGTGCTGGACGCATAGAGTAAAGAGATTGGCCAGGTCGTCATTGCCAATAGCCATCAGGACGTCGCTGACTACATCATCGACGCCTGGGCGCCCTTAGCCTTGGATTAGGGTTCCCTGGAATTGCGAGCGGACAGTGGAAAGATTTACTGCTTGCACGCACTCCGCGGCAACTCCGCCAAAGACCGCAAAGTCGGCAGGCATTTCGGACGGCAAAAGACGCGCGCGAGGGCAGCGGGCGACGACATGGACAGAGAGCTTCCGAGGGTTGGATAGGCGCCGAATAAATGTCCTTAGGGTTCCCAGCCCGGCGCGAGCGGCGGCGGTAAGTTTGCAGAGGTCCTCGTTTTTCAGGCTGCGTGAACGCGCACGATTACGGTGGCTGCGCGTGTCATTGGTCACAACAGGCGGCAGTCTGAACAGGACCTTCTCATGCTTAGCAGCTGCTTTTCCTCTTGGGATCAACGACGTGACCCTAGGGATATTCAGGGCCTGTCCAAAGAGCAAGACACATGCAGCAGGAGGGGGCAGTGTACGCGCATTGCTGTAGCCCAGAGTCCAGGAGGGCACCGTCCTTAGCGAGGCCGTCCGCGGCGTCGCCCGCAGCGTTGACTATGTGTGCGTTGATGTGCTCAAAGTGTGGCGTGGACGTGCGAGCTTGTTTCCGGAACATACAGTCACGTAACAAGTCGCCGTTCGCGACTGACCAACCGATAGCTGCATGCGCAGGAGCCACTCGTAGAGAGAACGGATGGCATACTCCGAATCCGAGTATATGATGAGGGGGCGGTGGAGAGAAGCCTGTGCCAGTGCGTGCAGGATCGCAAACATCTCTGCGCGGTTGTTCGTCTGCGCGTCGGGTACCCGTATGGCGCGGTTGCTCTTTGCGCCGAGTCCCCAGTATACGCCAGCGTCGGCCTTCGCACCCAGCCTGCCTGGGCCATTGCCAAGAGAGAAGCCATTCGTGTACACAGCAACAGGTGTTCCGCTACAGTACGCCCTACCGACGAGCTTCTCGTGGCGAGACTCAGGAGGTGAAGCCCGTGCACCCTCGACTAGGTCGGCCCACTTGCGGCTGAGCTCGGTATCGCGGGGCAGGGTGGCGATCTCGCGCTTCTGTAGCCGCGCAAATGGGTGCTCAGGCGCGCGATCGAACAGTCGATGGTCCTCCGGTGGTCCGAGAACGAAAACGAAAACGACCGGCGCGTGGTCAGACCATACCCCGCAGGGCCAGACAGAGAGGTCAACAGTGAGCGGCATCCCGGCGGCATTCGTGAGGGTATAGTCAACGACCAATTTTATCCGGTTGTGATGGACCTTGTCCTTGTTAAACGACGTCAAGGAGCTCGAGGAGGCGTCGAAGCGTGATAGTCCATTGAGGATAGTCAGGCGAGCGTCGCGCGCGCCAGGTCGAGAAGCTCCTTCGATCGTTACACTACCCGGGAAGCGCGTGTTGACTGAGATTCGGGGAGGGGCATCATTCCAGCCCTGTAGCGAGTGCGTTCGTGCGTTCAGGTCCCCCATCAAGAAGATTGGTCTGGCGAGCGCACAGAGCATCAGAATCGTTTCCGACAGCGAATGCATAGGCGCACAGTCGGCCCAGTCTGACCATGGGCTAACGTGAGTTATGATATACGCATTGACAATGATAGCACTGACCAATGTCGAGGACAAGGATATCCGGTGAACAATGTGCCGTGAGCTTGGTGCAAGGAAGATCGCTACGTATGAAGACGGCGACCCCTCCGACCGCGTTGTTGTGTTGTTTCGCGCCGAGAGTGGTACAAGGCCTTGTAGCCGCGAGGTATGGCTGAAGATGCCTTGGGTCTTCGACAAGCTTAGTCTCCTGCACCAGGAGGACATCGAACTTTGTGATCTTCTCGACGAAGTGTCGCTTTGGCAGGCTGTTGGCTAAATGACCGTCTAGATTCCATGATGTAATAACTAGGCGATCAAGCCGCGTACAAGGTGCCTTCTGTGTGCCAGACTATACATAAACCCAGATTAGAGAAAGTCAAATACAACGAGCTTAAGCAAATACAAAGGAACGGGGCTCGTCCGTAACGAGAACGAACCGAATGGCAGCGGTATCGACGTCTGGCTTGGGGAGCTCGGTCCAGAGCCTGATCGCCTGTTCGGCGAAGTCCTTGCGCAGGTACGCCGCCGCCCATTGCTTGTCCAGGCAAGGAACAACACCGCGAGGGCCTGGGCGCGTTAGAAGCTCGAACGCGTCGCTGTTGACCTTTTGTACGATGGCACGCCACAGGCTCCGACGTGCGTCCTTTCGTACCGGCCAGAACTCTCTAAGCTTTACCGCGGCAAGCCGTTGGCGGGTGCATCGGAGCGGCCACGCTGTCCTCTTCGCGGCCTGCTGCCACCGAACATGAAGGCCGAGGAGCTGGCACTGGGACCGGTCACCGGAGGCATATTGGCCGGTTGGCTCGTCGGCACAGCCATCATTGAACCATTGAATGCAGGGTGAGCCTGCGTCGCCATGTACGGGTCCGTGGGTTGGGAGAGGAACGTGGCGGCTGCTGTGGCACTACCCAAAGACGGGGCGGCAGGTTGCGTGCTCACGCCAGCAGTGTGATGGTGATCCGGCGAGGACGGGAACAGCGTCTGCGCGGGCTACGCGGCCGGCAAAGGTGCGGCAGAGTGTACCACGTTGAGGGCGGGCATAGACAGGAAACCCGCCGAGGCGTCGAGTCCCGATTGGAGTACGGCAGTGGTAGACACGGCGG